CAGATGAAAGAGAGGAAAACTCCCAAAAAGATGGATTGACATAGTGACTGCAGCAATGGGATCTAGCATATCAGAGATGGTAAGGATGGTGCAGGATTCAGCAAGATTCAGATCTCTCTGTTATTTATAAATTTGTTATAAATAGTAGTTGATTAGATGATACATAACAACAGCTATCCATCTCTGCACACAGCATCTAGTTCTTTTTCACCATCACTCCCATTGTTTATTACTACTTCCCTCTCCTGACACACATATACTGACTAGTACTATCAAGGACTCCGAGGGAGAAAGATGGACAGTCTCCTACTGTTATAATTTTTTTTATAACCTTGGAAACTGTAGGGTCACTTTAGTTGGAACAGACTTGATGGCAGTGAGTGCTCTGAGTTTCTTGAATCTCTGCTCCTGTCATTTCTGCTCTCTGGAACATCTGCTCTTTTACTAACTGTCTCTTCCTCAGCTTTGAAGACTAGCTGTCCTTTGATATCCTGTGTCCCCTCAGTACCCTGGATTGTCTTTGTCTGTTGACCGTTTGTCTCTCTGTCTTCATTTGTTAGAGTGTAAGCTTCTTCAGACAGGCAGCCAGAATAACTGTATCACTCTTTTCAACATCCAGGTAAACGCTACAGTGTTTTTCCTGATAAGAGCAGAATATGGTATTCAAAATGGTTGACTCTGGAGAACATTATGCTGAGTGAAATATCCAAGTCACAAAAGGACAAATATTACATGATGCCACTGTTGTAGAATGGGACTGTCCTTGGGGTTGGGGAGAGACTGAGTAAGATGGGTTCAATAATGTATACTGCACTGAAACAGAGGAGGGAGAGAACCGTCTAAAAGAGAGATGTAACTGGGTATTTCTGTCATCACAGGAGACTAGAGCGATGGCTGCATGGTGGAGGGGACCTGGGGGAGGGTTTGTAAAACAATGAAAGAATCTTTTCTTTTACTTTTCCATAACTTTTGGACTCATGTACTTATAACTTGTTAGTCAAATTTGTGTCTTCTAGGTTGCAACACCCCCATGATACATCTTCAAGGATATGTACATGTACAGCCAAGCACAATCAATAAGAGTGCATCTGAATTCCAAAATCAGTCTCCATAATAGTCTATGTGTTTCCTACTGCCAAAGGGGCCCTTTAGAGTAGTGAGAGAAGATCTTCACCCTGAAACCCACAGCGTCCCTTTTCAGCAGGAAGTAGCTAAGAGAATACGCCGTCCCCTTTTCCTTATGACTCAGGGTGAAGTCTCTCTCAGGGAGGAGTGATAGGGAATGGCAAAGGATACACTGACAAAGAAGATTAATCAGAACTGGCTTTGACAAGCACTGTGGCATTTGGACAAGAACAAACTGGGAGGAGGGTAGAGAGAATAGTGCAACAACGAATGAGTGGAAGCCCAAAATCTCTGTAAATGTTTATGAAAATTAATAAAATATAATTATAGAGAAAAAAAAGAGCAGAATATGGGACCATTTTTTTAGAAGGATGGCTTTTGAGTTAGACTTGAAGAATAGGTGGTGGTGGTTGTTGTTACATACCCTAGAGTTGGAATCAACTCATGGCTGACCATGAGTAGATTTTCAGAGGCTGTAAATCAAGTGGGAGGAGACTGCCCATCAATCTAACACAGAGCAGCTGCTGGGTTCAAACCACCTGCTTTGGGGATGGCAGTGCAACTCCTTATTTACTAGCCCATTGAGCTGCCTGGAGAATAGGTAGGCCTTTAAAAAGAATTTAAAACTAAGTTGTATGTGCATACAATACCAAATCCAAAATATAGGGCTTATAATAGAAATGAAAAGTAGGTGACCCCTCAATTACCCAGCTCTTCTCCCCAGAGGCCACCACTGTTATCAATTTCTTTGTATTCTATACTGACAAGAACTGTGTCTTTCCTCTTTTTATATTTTACAAGAACTGAAGCCAACAGAGAAATTACAAGAATAATACAATCAACACCATATACTTTTTGTGTGGAGCTCTGGAGGTATGGTCTGCAGGGAGTTATGCTTTTAACCCAAAAGGCTGTTCCTCTACTTGAGAGGCTGGAATCCACCAGAGGCTCTTCAGGAGAAAAATGGCCAATCTCTTGCACCATTTACAGCTTTGTAAACTCAACAGATGATCAGTTACAAGTTGGTTTCAACTCAACAGCAATGAGAAAGACCCTTTGCTTAGATTCATTAAGTAGTTGTTTTTACTATGTTGTGCTTTGCTTTTTATAAGCATTATACCATTTAATCATTCATATAAACCCATCTCAGCGGCACCTAACAACAACATGTCATTTAATGTACCCATTTTTCACATGCTGTAACTTAGGCACAATGACAGGTGAAGGGACTTGACCAAGGCCACAGTTGGTGAGGCAGCAGCTGTATTTCCCAGGATTTTTACTTCTCCTTTTGCGGGTCCCTTGGGTTTTTTTACCTCCTTTGGGTAGTTAATAGATGATCAGAAGAAAAGTATTCATCCTACTGTGGGAGCATTTTCTCTTTCCTCCTCTAACCATTATATTGTCTAAGCAAAAGCTGCCACCTATCATCAGCTTCGTTGTTACCTCTGCGGAGACTGTAGACTATCTCCTCCTTTAAAATCTTCCTGACCCTCTACTGCTGAGAGGACAGCACTGACAGTCTTATTCTGACAAGGCCCTCACCAAATCTCTCCAGTTCCTGCCTTCTCTCTTACCATCTACTTAAATGTTTCTTCTTCCGTGAGGTCACCCCTAGATTTTCACTTCAGTCTGCTGTCCACGTCTCCTTATGGTCTCTTCCAGGGGTATTTTGGTGAACAGTAGGAGAGTGGAGAGTTAGGGTTTAAGACTGGCAGCTAGGACTCCTTCCAGGATGAGCCACTTGTGCAAGGTACTGCAGGTGTCCTCCTCATTTCCTCAAGGTAATGAGTAAACTTCTGTATCTGCCAATTCCTTTCGATACAATGACTCAGTATATTCCTTCCATTTTCTTTTGAT